GCGAATGATTTACAGATCCTGAGCACCACTGACAAGCATCTGATCTTGTAAAATGCGTGGTAAGTACTGCCGCTGTAGTTTACACAGAGCACGTGCGATCGCAAAACTCAAAAGTGAAAGTAAAATGCGATCGTGCATTCAATGGGCTGTGTGAGCTACTGAAATGAGCCGCACTGTGAAACAGCCAATCAGAGCAGAGCTCAACATTATTATTCATGACCCTTCCGAATAAGGTAAAAACACACCATTTCATTCTAGGGACAAATCCTAGGGTTGTAAATGGACATGTAAAACCGTTTCTGGAGATTTTTTGCCCTTACCTAAGCCACATACCTTCTATGTAGATATCAGAGAATAATTTAAAATATTGTATCAATGCATTCTATGGCACATACAGGGTTAACGTTTTTCATGTAATATTTTATTTTAGCTGTATTTCAATTACTGAAAACAATTTCTAAAAGTATATTTAACAGCAGAATGCTGCAATTGACAGTAAAAACAAGTAATCTTCTAGACAGCTGTGATATGAGTGGCTTATTAGACTTTAATAAGGAAATTTAAGTTTCCTCTTCAGGAACTCGAGCTGCGTCGAAAACGCTAGGGGAACGCCTTCTGCGACCCACGCTCTGAATCACATGTGAAATCAGTCCAATAGCTGAACGGGACGTCACGGCGGATGACGTCATGACCAGGAAGCTATAAAAGCATGTGCGGCGGAGCCAGCGTCAGCTTTCTGTCATTCAGCGAAGCGCTCTGTGTGTGTCAGTCATATTTATTGTTGTCTGTCTATTGTGAGAAAAAGTCTAATAAGCAGCTATGTCTAAGGCTCATGCTAAGACAAAGCATGCAAAGGGCGAGTGCAAGCCACGTTATAGGTTGTGTGTTCCTCCCTGCCCACGTTATATCACGAGTGGGGATACACACAGCCTGTGCGTGGTTTGCTTGGGAGCGAAGCACGCAGAGTCGGCTCTTGAGGGGGCCGGCTGCCCGCATTGCGAGCGCCTCCCACTGCGTACGCTTCGCTCCCGGAGGGCTCTCTTTGAGGAGGGAGCCTTCGCCAGCGTTCCTCGCGGTGCTGGCCCCGCTGCCTTCGAGTCGGAGCGGCGGCTGCATTCATGGGGTTCGCAGTTGGATCTGGCGGAGGGAATGGAGACGGGCGAGTCCCAGCGTGGCTATAAGGCGATGCCCCGGGTTGAACAGACGCTAGCTAGCTATCTGTCCCCGGGCATGGCATCGTCGTTAAAGGCTCCGGCACTGCCCTCCAAGCCGCTGCGTACGACATCAGTGCTGGTGGGCAAGGGGTACGCGGAAGCGGGTCAGGCCGGTGCGTGTCTGCACACAATGTCTGTGTTACAGGCGTACCAGGCCGACCTGCTGAAAGAGCTGGATGAGGGCGAGGAGCTTAGCTCTGATAATATCGCAGAGTTAAGGAGAACCGCTGATCTCTCTCTCCGTGCCACCAAAGAGACCGCCCGCGCCATTGGGCGGTCCATGGCAGCTATGGTGGCAGCAGAGAGGCATTTGTGGTTGACCCTGTCTGATATGAAAGAGAAAGACAGGGTCTTCCTCCTCGAC